ATTAATGCCAGGAAAGTAAAATGAAAATGAATTATGGTTTTGACATGTTAGAGCAGAACAGGAGGAAGCCATTAGCCTGAGGTCTTGCAAAGCAAACGGAAACCCAACTGGAGGCATGAAACTGACTAAAAACATTAGCAAACCACGCAGTCAGTGACACAAGCCCAGACGGGACGCGGAGGGAACCATCCCCACGACAGGCGGTCGCCAGCTGGAGCCAAGGAGAAACCTCGCTCAGCTGCCGCCTCTAAGAGCTCGAAGCCCCGAGCCCTGTTCGCCGTTCCGGTGCTTCAGGCGTGATTCATGACTCATTCCTTTGCTCAAATAAAATTTATTTCGCCCAAAATTCTTCTAACCCCTAAATCCTAACGCCTAACCAGTAACCCCCACTCTACCCCTAACCCCTAAATCCTAACGCCTAACCAGTAACCCCCACTCTACCCCTAACCCCTAGCGCTACTCCTCACCCTTAGCGGTAACCCCGCGTTAGTTTCCGCGTTTGCACTGATGTCAGCAGTGCGGATTTGAGGTCACATGGTGGCCTGAGGCCTTGCGTTAGCATCACAGGTGTTTTCTCCACCAGCACTGCGGGTGCCGAGTCCGTACTTCGGATGTCGCATCTGCCCTAGGAACGCTCCGTTTGTGTTCTGAGGCTGCGGTGTGCGCCGCGCACGGCAGCCGCGTGGCCTTGGCTCGGGAGAACCTCGGCGCGCAGGATTCGGAGGGGCTTTCGGTGTCCAGGTTTCCACACAGAGACCCTCTTCCTAGTCTCTGACCCTCAGCAGTCAGGCTGCAAACAGGAAGGATTTTACTCACCGTGGACGCGGCCCAGAGCGGTCCCAAAGGGAGGCTGTGCCCGCTAGGTCGACGCCGTGAACACAGCTCCGCCGTCACAGTGCTCCCAGGTCTCTACTGTGCACAGCGCAACTCTGCAGGCCGCCCTGATGCAACGCACGCCGGCGCCGTGACGCCATCTGAAAAGGTGGGCTCGGGCGCCCCCTGCTGGCGGCCAGACGGCGCAGGGCCCTCTTGCTCCCCCGGGTGTGCCCCCGCTCTCTTCTAGTGGCTAGGGCCACTGCAAGGCCCTCTTACAGTCAGATCCGTGCCCCAGGGTCTGTGCTGAGGAGGACGCAGCTCCACCCTCGAAATGCCCCCAGGTCTATACTGGAGAAAGCAACTCTGCAAACCGCTGTGACACGACACAGGGCGGCGCTGTGATGCTATGCACATCGGCGGCGGAGCCTCAGGAATCTGAAAAGGCGGCCTGGGTGCTCCTTCTGGTGGCGGGACACTGCAGGGCCCTCTGGCTTACAGTGTAGTGGTAGCACGCCCCCTGCTGGCAACTAGGGCAATTCAGCCTCGCTTGCTCATGGTGTGGTGCCGGTGCTGCTGGGATAGGGTGCTGTGCATATGTACATAATGTGCACCTATATGTACATGCATACATACAGTCCATATGTACATAACGTGCACATATATACACATGTACATATTGTAATATCACAATAAATGTATATGTACATAATGTGTACACAATACATATGTACATGTGTACAGTGCACCTATATGTACATGCATACATACAGTCCATATGTACATAACGTGCACATATATACACATGTACATATTGTAATATCACAATAAATGTATATGTACATAATGTGTACACAATACATATGTACATGTGTACAATATGTACATTTATTGTGGTATTATGTATTGTGATTATATATCATTGTGATATTACAATAAATGTACATATTGTACACATGTTCATATGTATTGTGTACACATTACATATACATGTACATATCGTTCACATTATGTACATTATTATACATATATTGTGCACATGTACATCACAATAAATGTACATACTATACATTTTGTACACTGTTGTAATACCCGAGTAAATGTACACATTTTAAGTACATGCTGGGATATTATTTTTAGTATATTAGATTAAAAATCACTCCTAATATCAAAATAAAAATACACCCCTGTGTGTACATTTTGTGATATCATCCATAATATCCTAAGTAGATATTACTCTCATTGTGAAAGCAAGTGTACACTCTGTGATTGTTCCAATATCACAGGCAGTGTACAATGCTTCTGTGATATAGTGCCTAATATCCGGGCGAGAGAGGATGATTATACCCTCAGAATCAGAGGAAGTGTACACCACCACTGTAATATTGTTTTCAATATCCAAAAATGGAGAGGATATCACTCCAAATATCTCAGGAAGCACACAAACCCCGAGTGATATTGTTCATAATATCTAGGGGATGAGAGATGCTATTACTCACAGTGTGGCTGGGGCTGTACACCCGCCCTGTGATATTGTTCCTAATATCCAGGGAAGGAGAGGATGGTATTACTGCCCATGTAGTAATACTCTCAGTATGGCAGGAGGTGTACAGCACACTGTGATATGGTAACTAATGTCCACAGAAAAAATAATTCAATTGAAATACTGCAAGGGGTGAAACGTCCCCATGATTTCAATTCTAATGTAAAGGGGGGGTGAGGATGATATTTTTGTCAATTTCACAGAGGTGTAACTAGAACTTGTGTTATTGTGCCTAATATAAAAAAAAAGAATAACATTATCTGCTTTCTATGATATGGTTCCCAGAATCGTGTTACTCCAAATTTTCTAAATGGCCACCCTGCCCACAGCCCCAGCCAGATGGATCGTTATCAGCCTCGAGGGGTGGCCAGGGGCTGTGGGCACAGCCCACATTATGTACATATGTCCGTAATGTGCACCTATATGTACACGTGTACATACTGTACATGTGTATAATTTGTACATTATGTACACGTGTACCAATGTACACGTATAATGTGCACCTATATGTACGTGTACATATTGTACATCTGTACATAATGTGCACATATGTATACACCTCTACACATTGTACATCATGTACATATGTACATACTATACATGTGTACATATTGTAATATCACAGTAAATGCATATGTACATGTGTACAATATGTACATTTATTGTGATATGTATTAGATGTGATTATATATATCATTGTGATATTACATTACGTGTGCATATTGTACTCATTATCTACATACACAAGACATATGTATATGAGTACAATATGCACACGTAATGTAATCACAATAATATATAATCACAATTATATTGTGTACACATTAAGTACATATAAATGTACATATTGTACACATTATGTACATTGATTGTACACATGTATTGTGTGCACATATGTACATCACAATAAATGTACATATTGTACATATTGTATACATTTATTGTAATATCCCAATAAATGTACACATTCCAGGATATTATTTTTAGTGTATTAGATAAAATTACTTGTATCAAAGTGGGTATACACCCATGTGTGTACATTTTATAATATTATCCATAATATCCTAAGTAGATATTACTCTCATTGTGAAAGCAAGTGTACACTCTGTGATTGTTCCAATATCACAGGTGGTGTACAATGCTTCTGTGATATAGTGCCTAATATCCGGGCGAGAGAGGATGATTATACCCTCAAAATCGGAGGAAGTGTACACCACCACTGTAATATTGTTTCCAATATCCAAAAATGGAGAGGATATCACTCCAAATATCTCAGGAAGGACACAAACCCCGAGTGATATTGTTCATAATATCTAGGGGATGAGAGATGATATTACTCACGGTGTGGCTGGGGCTGTACACCCGCCCTGTGATATTGTTCCTAATATCCAGGGAAGGAGAGGATGAGATTATTGCCCATATAGTAATACTCTCAGTATGGCAGGAGGTGTACAGCACACTGTGATATGGTAACTAATGTCCACAGAAAAAATAATTCAATTGAATTAAATATTGCAAGGGGTGAAACACCCCTGTGGGTGTGGCCGCTGTGGGCACAGCCCCCTAGCCAGAGGGCTGGTAGCAGCCAGGGCCCTGGCCTGGGGGAGATTTTACTCACCCTCTGGCAGGGGTTGATCTGGGTGTATATTTTAGAGCAATATGATTCCTAATATCAATGTTGGGTTGATATGGGTGTATATTTTAAGAGATATTACTACTGATATCATAGGTGTTATAGAGTATGTTTGAACAGTCTAATATTGTTTGTAATATTCAGCATGTCATACAATATTACTCATAATATCAAAGTAATATTATTGATAATATCCTAGATATTTCTCCTAATATCACAGGGAGTGCACACTATGTGTATATACCATGTGTGCACACACTATAATATTATTTGTAATATACCAAGATAATATCACAACAAATATACACATTATGTATATTTTGGGTACACTTATTGTGATATTACCATAAATGTACATAATGTGCACGTATATTTACATGTGTACATTTTATGTATGTACATATGTACATAATCTGCATGTATATGTACACATGTACATTGTACATAATATGCACACATGTAAATGTGTACATATTGTACATATGTACATAATGTGCATGTATACATGTACATATTGTAATATCACAATAACTATGTACATAATGTGTACACAATACATATGTACATGTGTAGATTATGTACATTTACTGTGGTATGTATTATATATTATTGATTATATATTATATAATTGTGAAATTACCATAAATGTACATATGTACACATTATGTACATTTAATGTACATATGTATAATGTGCATATTGTACATGTTATATACATTTATTGTAATAGTCCAATAAATGTACACATTACGAGTAAATTCTAGTATATTTTTAGTATATTAGATATTACTATTAGTACTGGTACTAGATACTAATATTAATAGATATTATGGATAACAATATTAATATCATATCCCCCTTGCCATTTATCCTCAGGGCATGCTCCAGCCTCAGGGCCTTTGCACTTACTGTCTTCCCCCAAATGCTCTCTCATATCCCCTGATCTCTGCTCAGATGCTGCCCTATCAGACTCTCCTGACAAAACTGCTCTCGCCCTCCCTTTTCTTTCAGGGCATGGACCCCTCCTGGCATCCTGCATATTTTAGCATTTGTTCCTGCCTCTCCCCACTAGAATGCAAGCTGCAAGGGAACTGTATCCTTAAGGCCTGGTAAGTGCTCAATTACCACTTTTTCAAGGACCACATTTGTGTAATATTAACATGTATTAAGAAAGGGAACAGCAGTGAGTTGTCCTGTTATATGCACTGGCCACATGTTGCATCAGCATGTCCCTCTCCCTGTGTGATCTGATTTCCATGACTTTGTGGGGGTGATATTGTTGTAAATACCAATTAACAGATGAGGCACAGAGAGAATCACAGGTGGGGATTGTGCCTGGCAGGCAGCAAGCACTCAGTGACTGTTAGCTGAGATTAACTATTATTTTGCTATGGAGATGGGTGGGGACCATGTAAAAATGCAAGGCTTCCAAAGTAGACAACAACCCTCTCACTTGGGGGTCACACCTAATGTGTCACAAGAAAGCTTTGGATCTTCCCGATCGGACCCACCTTTGGGAGAGTCGCCTGAGGGGAAGATAGGCATTCCTGCTCAGCATGATTGACAAGGTCCTTATGCCATTTCCAGTGCCCAGAGGGTGCAGGGGGTTCAAGACTGCCACACATGGTGTCTAGACTACTGACATATCAGGACGGTGTCTGGGGTTGCAAGAGAAGCAGCTTTTAAAAACAGCATTGAAGGCCAGGTGCCATGGCTCACACCTGTAATTGCAGCACTTTCAGAGGCTGAAATGGGTAGATTATCTGAGGTCGGGAGTTTGAGACCAACCTGACCAACATGGTGAAACCCCATCTCTACTAAAAATACAAAAATTAGCCAGCCAAAGTGGCACAAGCCTGTGACACCAGCTACTCCAGAAGCCGAGGCAGGAGAATTGCTTGGGCCCATGAGGCAGAGGTTGCAGTGAGCCGAGATTGTGCCACTGCACTCCAGACTGGGCAACAAGACTCTGTCTCCAAAAGCAACAATGACCCAAAACAACCACCACCACCTTGAAGATAAAACAGCATGTAAAGACTGAAGTCTTCAGAACCCTCGTTTGTTTCAGAAGATTCTAGGCTAGAGCTGAAGGCTTTGAAATACGGACTCAAGATCTGTCTTGCTCTAACTCATCCTGTCTCCACTTTCGTCACCAACTATAAGTGATTTCCCATGGAAGTCCTCGTTCACTGCTGTCCAAACTGACACTAGGAACTAACATATCCTGAAACAGTAAGTCCCATGTGCATTACTTTAAAATGAAAAGATTCCTTTCTTATTTTTGTAATTAATAAAATTCATATGTTTGACCAGATTCCCCTTGAGAATTGCTCTCAGAATTAGTCATATTCTAAATGAAAACACAGGACAGGAGATGCACACATTGATTTTTAAAAAAGATAAAATGATCGTTTACAAATCATACATTTTTGGTAAAACAGATCCAATCTCTCCAAATTTCCTCACATCATCGATTTTCCTTGGGTCCACAACCAGCCTGTTTCACATCGAGTCTTTGCTTCTTTGGAAATGTGTGAGAAACTTAAATTGTTTGAATTTGAGTGTAAATCACAAGTCTGGCTTTAATACCAATTTTTTGTTTGTTTTTGAAATGGAGTCTCCCTCCATTGCCCAGGTTGGTGTGCAGTGGCATGATTTTGACTCACTGCAACCTCTACCTCCTAGGTTCAAGTGATTCTCCTGCCTCAGACTCCCTGAGGAGCTGGGACTACAGGTGCACTCAACACACCCAGCTAATTTTTTTTTTTTTGTATTTTTATTTATTTACTTTTTTTGAGATGGAGTTTCACTCTTGTTACCCAGGCTGGAGTGTAATGGCGCGATCTCGGCTCACCGCAACCTCCGCCTCCTGGGTTCAGGCAATTCTGCCTCAGCCTCCCGAGTAGCTGGGATTACAGGCACGCACCACCATGCCCAGCTGATTTCTTTTGTATTTTTAGTAGAGACTGGGTTTCACCATGTTGACCAGGATTGGTCTCTATCTCTTGACCTCGTGATTCACCTGCCTTGGCCTCCCAAAGTGCTGGGATTATAGGCTTGAGACACTGCACCCGGCCTTTTTTGTATTTTTAATAGAGACGAGGTTTCACCATGTTGGACAGGCTGGTCTCAAACTCTTGACCTCAAGTGATCCGACAATCTCAAGTCTCCTAAGGTGCAGGGATTGCAGGTGTCATACCTGACCTTTAATACGAGTTTCATTTGGTGCCACTGAAGTCCTATCCATCCTTGACTTGGCCCTGCTCCACCAGTTTACCCTGTGCCTGCACATCTATAAGGTTCACATGCACAAGTCAATGATACAATAGTGCCGAAAACTACAGCGAGAATGCCGTTTCTCCATCGCCCTACTTGCTCCTTTTTGTTACCCCCTCCCCAACCACCCTAGGCCCACTGCCCACTCCCAGCCTCCTTTCTATCTTGAGAGCCCAGGGAGGGCATCTAACTACTCCCCAATCAGTGAGTAGGACCTCCACTTCTAGAAGCATCCGTGATTTCTCCTAGCCAACATCACAGATGTGCTCCAGGTATACTGCTGTTCAGCATAAGCTAATGGCCTCACTCCCATGCCTCCCTTTTTCAATGACGTGACCTCACAAATTAGGCTCAGGATTAAGTGAGGAAATGCAAGAAAGGTATTAGCACTTTTCTCAAATCTTTCCCTCCCTCCACGTAACTACAGACAACCAGAACCAAAGAACAGGAGACACACAGAAGAACAAAAAGACTTGTGAAGAATGATGAGAACAGTAATACTCACAGCAAATACTGGCTTTGAGAAAACAGAAGGAAGGGTGGGGCAGTGGTTCGTAACTGTAATCCCAGCACGTTGGGAGGCTGAGGCAGGCAGATCACTTGAGGTCAGGAGTGTGAGATCAGCCTGGCTAACATGACAAAATCCCATCTCTACTAAAATACAAAAATTAGCTGGGAGTGGTGGCACATGCCTGTAATCCCAGGCTACTTGGGAGACAGAGGCAGAGAACTGCTTAATTCTAGAAGGCGGAGGCTGCAGTGGGTCAAGATCACACTATTGCACTCCAGCCTGGGAGACAGAGTGAAAACTCCATCTCAAAAAAAAAAGAGAGAGGTGGGGGGTGCAGAAGGTACACACTGCCCCTCTGGGGATAGGGTCTCATTATGTTGCCCAGGATGGACTCGAACACCTGGGCTCAAGCAGTCCTCCCTCCTCAGCATCCCCAGTAACTGGGAATATCGGCAGAAACCACCTCATGAGGATGTAGCAGATTTCTTGATTACCCACTATGTGCTCGGCACTGCTAATATATTCGTCCTTTTACACATATTTACTGGTTTACATATAAGTAATTTCACATGTATTTGTATGTGCATATATAGATGTATAGATACACGTACCTCACATTATCTCAGTAATGTCGGTGTGGCTCACATAACCAGTTGAAGATTTTTAGAACAGAAACATGTTTCCAGAACATGGGATTCTGCTCTAAGACATCAGCACCAAGGTTTGAGCTGAGCCAGCGCCACTCAATCACACGGACTAATTCTTTGAAATGATCTTTTATACATATCACATCTCTCTCAATGGCTCTTTTTCTTTGGAGAACCTTGATAGACACAGGAGAAATCTGGAAATGGAGCATTCACAGAAGCAGCAAAAGGAGGGAGAGAGACACAATAGTCCCTAAGCTGAACGTGCTTCTGGGAGGCTGTGATGTGCAAAAAACATCGGGAGAACCAGGTCTAGGACCCAGAAAGAGAAACTATCTATATCTGACAACAGATTAATAACCAGAATATATAAGAAGCTCAAACAACTTTAGAGGAAAAACTTTAATAATCTGATTTTGAAAATGGACAAAATATCTGAATCTCCAAAGAGGACATAAAAATGGCAAACAGGTATATAGAAAGGTGCTCTACATTCAGCCCAAGTTCCCAGCAGGGGCAGAAGAGGACCCAGTTTCCTAGAGAAGGGATGAAAGGGGCAGTTCTGGCATCTTCTCAGCACAGCACCACTCTCAGATAAAGGCAGCATGGTGATGTTATGCTGGTTTTTTGGGGGCTGAACTCTTCCTGGAATTCTCTGGAGGAATTCTGAATCTGTCAGTCCTGATGGCCGGAAAGCAACACTCAAGAGACCTTGGGGAAGAGACAGAAGGACAGAAAGCAACACACTGTGTGTCCCCACTCCATACCAGCCCTGTCCCTGGGCTCCAGTCTTACTCTGGCATATGCTTTTCTGACCTGGACAGCTTCTGTTTCACCTTTAAGATCTGACTCAATGGCCAGGCGCTGTGGCTCACTCCTGTAATCCCAGCACTTTGGGAGGCCAGGGCTGGCAGATCATGAGATCTGGAGTTTGAGACCAGCCTAAACAACACAGTGAAACCCAATCTTTACTAAAAAAAAAAAAAAAAAAAAAAAAAACTTACCTGGGAATGGCGGTGCGCATGCCTGTAGTGCCAGCTACTCAGGAGGCTGATGCAGGAGAACCACTTGAACCTGGAGTTGCAGCTGCAGTTAGCTGAGACTGCAGGACTGCACTCCCACCTGGGCAACAGAGCAAGCCTCCATCTCAAAAAACAAAGAAGAAGAAAAAAAGGAAGGAAGGAAGGAAGGAAATAAAGTCTGACTCAAGAAGTACCTCTCCAGCTTTTCAAACTTTACTTACCAATCCAGGGCACCCAGGGCAGGTGATGACTGCCTGCTGCATAGGAGCGTGTGAGCATGAGACAGACCCATCAAAGGACATTCCAGTGTGGACAACCAGCAGGAGCCCACTGGACACTTCATCTAAGGAAATACTAATGAACAACCGAAGCGAGCAGCTCACAGGAGCTAGAACACACCCTAAAGTCACACCCAAAACTCCTGGACTAGAAATACAAGGAATCTGCTGGTGAAGTCAGCTGAAACTAGCGCAGGCACAGCCCAAGCTCATGAGCCTGGGACAGGGGGACAGATGAGCACACAGGGTGGAGGGCACTCGGGGCCAGAACACAAGGAGAAGCTAGAACTTCTGATTAGGAAGTGTGATGGCTCCTGAGGCTCATGGCAGGCAGTGGCCATGCTGACAATAGCACCTCAGCTCCCACCTGGAAGC